ACATATTGATTTTATCTCCTCCTCCGCCCCCAACAAAATAGATTTTAAAAAGAAAAGGATCAAATGGAAAAAATGTATTTGAGAACCACTGGCTTAAAGCAATGTTTTCTAATAATTTTCAATATTTGATGAACAAGTGCAATAGTAGCCTGACCTTTAACTTAAATAAGTTACTGGTCACAAAATCTCTGCTTTTTTAATGAAAACCCAAAGGTTTCCCATTCTTTGTTGAAGCATGAAAGGAGGCATTTCTCAGCCTAGGTCTTCTCCCTTCCCTTTATATAGATGCAGTTTACATATTCTATTTCAGGAGAATTTCGGGGTTATGGAACTTTAGGGAATACTGATAGTGTGGTAGAAGTTAGCCTAGTGATCAACTGGCAGGTACATAGTCGCTAAGGAGAAAAGAACCCAAGAAATCATGATGTACCAGTATGTGCGTTAAACCCCCCAAGCTGAAGCTCAGATCAATGGTCTGGAATCTGTTAGGCTTATATGGGCTGTTGGCAATCACACTACTCCCTCCTTCTCACCTAGGGAGGTGCTGAACTAGGGCAACTTTCGCCTTTTTGGGGAGCCCAAATGTAGAAGCATCAATCCCAACGTTCTGTCACTTAAATAACAAGAGATTCATTACTTATAAATAAAAGGTAGTGGTTATGGCAGGAATGCTGTGTATAACAAGTGAGGATAAGCTGTAACTAGAGGTCAATGGACTACTGGGGTCTCTCTGAGAATGCCTGTTCTTTGCCAATTCAGTGCAGCCCTTGATGGGGAGGTGGGGGAGGGGGTTCCTCACAATTAGCATCTGGAGTTCAACTACAAGTGTTCTAAGGAAGAGCTAGTTTATACAACTTTAGTACCAGACCTTGACAAATTCATCCACTTTCTTTGTGTGAGTCATTTTTAAAGTTTTCTGTTCCCGGATACTTCCCTCTCAACTCTTAGTCCAGGCATGTGCTAAAATTACTTCTATAAATGTTATCCAGCAAAGATATATTATTGGTTAGATTTTGCCTAATAACAACAACAAAAGCCTAGGAGTATTGCTGCAAGGTGTACAGCTAGTGTTACAGCTCTCGTGTTACAGCTCTTGACCAGGGGAAGATCTGAGAGGCACACGGAGAGTCAAAGAACAGTCTTCATTCCTTCAGCAGGCTCAGCCGACTTCTGACTTCTGACCACCCCCACTTCCTTGCTGTCCTCCAGTTTTTATATCCTTGGTAGGACTCATAAAGCGTCCAATCAACAACAAGCTTTAACATCCAATCAGCAACAAGCTTTAACATCCAATCAGCATCAAGCTTTAACATCCAATCAGCATCAAGCTTTAGCATCCAATCAGCAACAGTGGGATTCAAAAGTACCCAATCAGGATGGCGCAGCCATAGCACAGGCTGGGATAGCAGGTGGTGGCATGCCGCCCGGCCCCAGCAGTGTGCCCTCCAACCAGCCATGCAGCGCCAGGATGCCGAGTGGCGGGGAGGCAGTGTGTGGCTGCGTCTTGGGGCCTGGCAGCCTTCTGCGTCAGGAGTGGGTCTAAAGCAAGCCTTGGCTGATGTTCTGTTCTTAGTTAATGGAGAGCTAGGAATAGAAGAAGGGTCTGTCTTGGTAGTTCTCAGACTCGAGTGTGCAAAGGAGTCGCCCAGAGAGCCAGGTTAAAGGGCAGACTCATGGACCCCAGGTTCTCCTGGTGCAGTCTGTCTAGACTGGGATTTGCTAAACTAAGTATGACATGATTAAAAGGTAGGTGGTCTGCAGCCTAACTCTGAGAGGTATTGGATTATTAAATCCTGTCCTCTGTCATTTGCTGAGACACTCCTTTACCTCTTTAGACTGAAAAAAAGTCAAACAGCCACTCTTCTGGTGACAAAGAACAACTTACGGTGATAAAGAAGAGGGGAGAACTTTATCTTCCAGGCTTTGAAAACGGTAAATGCACAGTCTTTTGTGTGTGCCTTCAAGACACTTGAAAGTCACTTTGTGGCTACTACACAGAGAGAGAACAAACTCAGTGACACCTCCCCCCGTGTTTCATCTAAGAACACTTCTCTCAAGACTCTTTGTCTCACCCAGAAACTTCAGGGTTTTGGTAAAATAAAGTAACTCTTTTTTTTTCTCTCAAAAATAGCGGTAACCCCGGTCTAAAGGTTTAAAAGCTAGGATGTCTGTTTTTCTATACCCGGATAGCTAGACTTTCTAAAACCTCTCCCTCCATCTTCGTGTAACTCAATAACTCATGCATGAAAAGGCTGTGGATTTCCTTAAATGAAAACTGAAATACTGTTTCCTTTATGCTAATGTTAGTATCCAGGCAGTGAGCTTGGTTAACCATGAGAAAATAAAAACTTTAGAGGGAAGGTATTATTTATAGCAAATGCAAAGCATCATTATTATCAATTCTTATTACAAAATACACAGAAAAAAAATATCTTCTTTGTTATTTAAATATGGCATGACTACATTGAGAAATAGTACAGATGTTGATCCACAGCTTCTCAGCTGCATCCTGAGTAATCATTATTATGTTTTATTCTTATTTGGAATTACTAGTAATAGACTGTATATTTCTGTGTGAAATTCAAATCAGGGAACGCCAATGAATCGAGATGATTGATATTATATATACACACACATAATTTTGGAATTGGGACAACAATGGAAATATTTCTCTCTCAGAGAAAATCCACCAAACTTGCTACTCTATCAGTGATCTTGATGAATAACGTTTTTCATTTAACTAGATGTGCCAAAAATTCACTTAATTCTTCGCAGTTGAAATGAGTCAACCTTTGGCCAGTATCTAAATTTGTTTTGAATATATCTGTGTAATTGTTGAAAATGTGAAATGTAAATATCTGGATTTTGAAATATCCAGCTTCTTGTATAAGTATTTTTTAAAAGTACATGCTTGTGTACTTTTATCCTGTGCTTTTATTGTGTGTTCTTTGATAAATCCTATTTTCTTCGTTTAAACCTCTCATTGTGTGGGATTTCGTACATGGAGTTAGGAGAGAGGAGGGAGGATGATGATGGGAATATAATTCACGTCTTCTTTGAATGTGAATTTCATGTGTATGTGCGTAGTAGTTTATGGGGAAATATTCATGACTGCTTTCTGATTTTTAACTGGTGTAGAATCACTGGTCTTATCTAGTCTCATTAATTTATAGATGAGAAAATTGAAGAATAGAGAAAGTAGGTGATTTTTACAGAGTTCTTAGAGTAAGTATTAGACTCAAGACATTGAATCTCAGCTCATGGTCTTTCTAAATCCTTGTCCTCCTTGTTCTCACAACAAGGTCATGGGCTGTCCCCATTCCTCTATAATAAGGTAGAAGTCTGTTTGGTCATCTTGTCTTCTTAACTTTTCTCCTATTCCAACCTTAGCATGAAAGGTTTTTGTTTTGCCTCTCTCTCTCTCTCTCTCTCTCTCTCTCTCTGGTTAAGTCTGGGTTAAAAGCCTTAAAAGAAATTACCTTGCCAGGCTTCAACTAGATCCCCAAACCAACTTTATTCTTTTTCCTCAGTCCTGATTCACCTGAATGAATCCAGTCTCATCCTATCACCTATCAACAAAAGGCTGGTTATGAAGGTTTTCCAGGATAGCAGTTGCAATTCATGCCCTTCAAAATAATCGTAGCTAAAGGGAAAATGGACTGTCAGCTGTAGGGTGAGATTCAATATCATTTTACCTCATACCCACCGGTGTTTCTATCTGAAAATTCATCAGACAATGGCTAAGTAAGCTAATTGAATATATTAAAAAGTGAAAAAGAACACTTTGCCATAGAACAAATCCTTACTAATCACCTCTTCTGTGCATATGCTGCTATACTTGGTACCACAGGAGATACAAAAATGGGTAAGATACAGTCATGCTCTCAAGAAGCTTGCAATCCAAAGAAAGGGAAAGAAAGATACAGATGCATTTGAGTAAAAAAAAAAAAAAAAAAGGTAAGTGTTCATGGAGAGATATAATTTAAAAATTATGTGGTTAAAGGAAGAAAGGGTCTAGAGAAGCCTTCTAGGAAAAAAGAAAAGAATTTGAACTTGATTTTGAAAAATGAACATAACTTTCCTGGGCATAAGCAGCAAGGTGCATTTTGAACATATATTTATTGTGTGCAAAGTCTAGAAACGTTTGTACTTTACACTGGTACTTATAGTTTGGTTTGGGGATTATTCCAGTCTTTGAACAAAATAAGTCTCATACTTTCTTATTGAAAGAAAGCATTCAGAAATGCATAGCTCTTTGCTATTTCTGCACCATCCAAGCACATAATCAGTGGACTCAAATCATTGAACCTGTTATAGATCAATATGGGTATTACCCAGTCATGTGTGGTACCAGCTGTGTGATACTTATGCAAGATAGGCCATGTATGGGTTCATAATGGGTCAGGAAAGCAAAAACAACTAGTCCTTTGCCAGAGATAATTTGAAAATCAGGACTGTAAGTTGTTCTTTATTTGCCTACATAGCCATGTTAAGAAAGTTCTATCTACATTAGCAATACCAACCTGTTTCTCATGATTAATGTATTTACAAAATCATCATTGCCTGTTTCTAAATATATTATTTCATTACAGTGCAGAAAAAAATGTTAACTTTGTGACATTAGACAGGCTTCCACAGTGACAGCAGCATAAAATAGATATAGGAGGAACAAAATGTGAGCAAAGGAAAAGGGTGGTCCAAAGACGGTTGGAACAAGAAGAAGGAGAGGAGAAAAAGGGAGATGTCAAGCAGTCTGTGTCTGGAATTTGTTGGTACCATAACTGATAAAAATGAAATAGGAGAGCCCATGTTTTCACTTCCTAACAATCCACAGAATATTAGTCTTTAATGGGAAATTTTGTCCAGAAACTGAAACAGAATCTATTTTGTATTATCATTTTTTGTTAACTTTTTTATTTTGTTTTCGTTGTGGTGTTGTTTCCTGTTGTTCTTATTTGGAAGATGTTCTTAATTTTGGACATTCTGTCTTCTCATTTCAGATGACTACACGCTGCATGGCCCAATTTTTATTCAAGAACCAAGTCATATAATGTTCCCTTTGGATTCGGAGGAGAAAAAAGTGAAGCTCAATTGTGAAGTGAAAGGGAATCCAAAACCTCATATCAGGTTTGTTGATTTAAAAGCATGCGTTTCCATGCATATAAGTTTCTATTACTAAAATCAACAACTACCTATAGAGTACTGATTACATAAATAGCTTTTAGTTCGGCATTATCACATACCCTAGAAGTCTTTAGGAGATGATGGTTTCATGAAAAGTTAAGTGCTCATCCTCTGTTTTTGGCAGTACTGGGAATTAAATATTCTGATTGACCTTCTCATTGAAAATTTTAACAATTCCTAATAACATATTTTTAGTTAAAAAAAACACCATTTAAAAATGTATCAGTAAACTAGTATGAAAATAAAATATTCAGAAGTCTAAAAGTAAGTGGGTTTGGAAACCAGAGAGCTGGACAGTAAAGGCAGTTTTCACATTGATGAGCTACATATATAAATTGAGCTTTGGTTTTCATAGCCTCACAGTCCCTGGGGTCACAAGACAAAGCAACCAACAAGAAACTTAACTAGCAAGAGAGTGTAACATGAGAACGCCTCCCAGAATAAATCTGGGATCTAAAGGCTACATCCCTACATTAGATATGAATGAAAAATAAGCTTGCCATTAAGAAATAAGCCTACCTTACCAAGACACTGTAAAGTATATGCGATTGCCTATTTCAAACCTCAGGTCTGCGTGGTTTTAATAGCAGATGAGATACAGCTGAAAAGAAAATTACTTAAACTGCAAAATAGGTCTGAAGAAATCATCCAATGGCAGCAGAAAGAGACGAAGTAAAACGTTTAAGAGAGAGAGAAAGAGAGAACACATATCTAATCAGAGTTTCAGAAAGGCAAGAAATAACCAGGCAGAGGCAATATTTAAAGAGAAGGCTAAGAATTTTCCAAACCAATTAAAACTCCCATGATACAGATTTAGCAAGCCCAATGAACTTCAAGCAGTGCAAATAAAAAATGAAGCCTCATCTTTAGAATAGTGAAATAGCAGAACACCAAGTCAGAGAGACAATCATAAAAATAACCACTGCTGTAATACAGATAACCTTCAAAGAACTGACAATTCAACTGGCAGCTGGTTTCTGAATAGCAGCAAAAAAGCAAGAGAGAAAAGATAGACTCTTCAATATGGCGAGAGAAATTAATTGTCAAATTTATAGATAGCAGAAATATTTTTAATAAAGTAGAACACAACCAATGTTTTCACGCAGACGTAAACTGAAGTTTTTGACTCCAGCAGAACTTCACTAAAGGAAATCGTTTTTAATATTTTATCTTTATTGCGAAGGCAGCACATGAAGTTGAAACTAAAGGAAATTCTAAAAGACATACTTTAGGTAGAATAAAACTGGTCCCAGACAGAAGATCTGAGATATAAGAAGAACTGATAAGTAAAGCAAGTTGATTGCGCTAAACATTAAAAAGAATACTGTCTTCTGAAGACAAAAATAAGAAAAGTTAAAATTCATGGCAATAATAGAAATAAATTGAAAAGAGGTATGCTGGACAATGGATTATGTTTAAAGAGATAAAATAAAATTAGACCCCTACCTCACACCATACACAAAAAATCAATTCCAGGTGGATAGAAGACCTAAATAGGAAATTTACAACACTTTTAAAGGAAAATAAGGAATACATATTTTTGAAATTAGGGGAGGAAAATATTTCTTAAATGTGAAAGAAGAAGTACAATTCATAAAAGAAAATGTTTAACTTTATTAATATTAAGAACTTCTGTTCAATAGAATATGCTGAGATAAGCAGAATTACAAACTACAAAACCCAAGAGAAGAAATATATTTTTAGTATATTTGTCATTGGTAAAGGATTACTGTCTAGAATATTTAAAGAATTCCCACAAATCAAAGTATAAAAAACAAGTTACCCAATGGAAACATTGGCAAAGCACTTGAGCAGGTACTTCTAAGAAAATGAAAACCAAATATCCAGTAAACATATAAAAAGATTACCAATCTCTTTAGTGAACAGAAACATACAATTAAAACTAAAGCGGCATGCTTTTTCAAACCTGACCAGAAGGACACAAATTTAGAAAGACAGCCTGTTGGTGAAGGTGTGGAGCAAACAGAACCCTTGCATGTTGCTGGTAGGAATGTAAATTGGTAAAAGCCACTGTGAGAAAATAGGTAGTCTCTAGTAAAGCTAAAGAATACACACACCCTGTGACCCAGAATGTATAAGTATGCTCACGGTACATTTGTAAATAAACATACCCTGGTATCTTCATACAAGGTAACCCCAGTGCAGTAATAAAAATGAATGAATTACAGCTGCCACAATATGGGTGGGTCACAGGCACATACATCTGAGTAAGTAGAGCAAGCCACAGCAGAATGCACGCTCTATGGTTATTTATACAGCTCAAAAGCAGGTGAGATGGAGTGGTTATTGAAGGTGTAGAGGAGGTAAAACCTAACTCTTTTGGGCTTTTTAAGCTGGGCCTGAGGATTAAATTCAACATAAAACAGATCAAAAGAAGAAAAGCATACACATTTATTTAATACAACTTTTACATGGCAAGGGAGCCTTCACAAGGAAATCAAGACCTAAAGATGCAGTTATCAGCCAGGCATGGTGGCTCACGCCTGTAATCCCAGCACTCTGGGAGGCCGAGGCGGGAGGATTGCTTAAGGTCAGGAGTTCGAGACCAGCCTGAGCAAGAGTGAGACCCCGTCTCTACTAAAAATAGAAAAAAATAGCCAGAAAAAATTAGCCGGGCATGGTGGCACATGCCTGTTAGTCCCAGCTACTCGGGAGGTTGAGGCAGGAAGATCGATTGAACCCAGGAGTTTGAGGTTACTGTGAGCTTGCCACAGCACTCACTCTAGCCTGGGGGACCAAGCAAGAATCTGACTCAAAAAAAAAAAAAAAAAAGATATTTATATACTGAATTGGACAGAGAATAATAAATTGTGGAAAAGTAACTAAATTATGTGGGGAGCCTAGAAGAAAATATTTTAACAAAGTCTGTATAGAATTTTCTTTGTCTTAATTTCCCATCCTTGATAATAAAAATATTACTTTCCTTCTAGTATAGGAAGGGCATCTTTCACATGAGAATTTTATCTCCTGCTTTTTAGAAACAGAACGAAAATCATAGTGATCTCCTCGCCCTTGCTGTTTTGCAAGTATGTTTAACTCAAAATAGTCCGTATGCCAGTGTGGCATATTTTGGGGTAACATGTTCTGAACTCCTTCAGAGGATACCAACATACATGATAAATTCATAAAATAAAATCACAGGGATGAAAAAGCCAAAATTAAAGATTATAATTAACCATTGAGAAGGAAGTAATTGCAATCAAAGTAGACACAGCAGACTTCAAAATTAATAATAAACTAAAACATATTCATTCATTCATTCATCAAACATATCATCTTTCATCCAGCAACCCTCACCAGTGTTTAAACTGTGAATTCTGGGGTACAACATGGAATTGGGTCCAGGATTACCCGGGGTGGAGAATAGCAGAATTTCCACTCAAGATTCAACCTAAGCAGCTCCACCTTGAACTGGGGTATATATTAGGACTCTGAAAAATGTGTCATCCGGGAAAAGTATTTAAACCACTACATTAAGTAGCTACAATGTATCAAGCACCTGGCTAGGTTGGAAGTATTCAAAGATTGATAATAAACTATAACATATTCTACTGGTGTAATTGGGGACTGCCTAGCTGTGGAGGTAGTTGGAGCACTATGATGTAAATGCAAGTGAAGGATGACCAAGTTTTAGGGCATCCTGGAGGATAGAAAGTCTAATTCGGAATGGGGAGGGCAGGTACCAGTGAAGGTTGCACAAAAAAGGAGGTATTTTAACCTAGGTGGAGAGTGAATGGTGTTTTGCCACAGACATAAGGAAAGAAAGTGCATTCCAGAAAGTAAGGAAACAGTAACCCTCCAATGGACCCAGTAATTAGTGTGAACACATAATTTATCATCCCAAACAGGACACTTTTGAGAGTAAAAGGCCACTGTTAATAATTATTCTAGGACAGCAGATATAAACCCTGCACTGTCTTGCATAAGCCAGAATGGTTATTCTCCCTATAATATATTAAACCCCAGGCTAACTCAGAGATTTTTAAATGTTGTATGCAGTAAAGAATGCAAGAGACAAAGGGTTCCTAGATACATAAATGATGAGTTAGCTGGTCCCAGTTTTTAGTGCATAGCCAAGTGTAAGTTCAGATGTTAGCCATAAATGAAAACAAATTTTGCAGCAGAATTTGGCAAGTTGCTGCTTTGTTTTTCCCCAAACTGTGACCTTTAATTAACATTGCTTTTGTAACACTGTGTTTCTAGACATAGGGCTTGCCTTGTTATTTAAAACAAGCAGTGGAACAGAAACCTATTATGTTTTTAGAGATTGCCAGGAAAAGCTGAGAGGAAAACTTTTAATCAAATGCACTAGCAATTCATTGCAGCATGCTTTGCTTGTCTTTATACCTTGGGCAGTTTCCCTGTAACATAATAGCAGACTGGTACCTGGAAGGTAAAAAATCCCTCTTATTGAAGGAAAGTGCAAGAGAAAGAATGGAGAGATCAGGTATTTTCAAACACCTTTCTGGCTGAACTTTTTCAGTCTTCGGGCTGACTTTGAGGGGAAAGAACAAGTAGGAGAATTCCAAAGTGAGCTCTCTGTGGGAATCTTCAGCATTAGGTTTTCCCCTCAGACAGGGCAACTGACCTCTCTTCTTTGTGTTTTTTCCCTCTACTGAGCCTTCTCTTTTCACTGTTTCCTGCCCCTAGATTTTGAAAGGATTGACCCAGACCCAGGAAAATTTAAGAAGTTTTGATTTGTGCCAACTTCCCTTGAATTAAAGTTCCCTAAGGACACATGACATTACTTAATGCACTCAGCATCCCTTTCCAGACAAAAGAAACGTTCAAGTACTTGGCTGGAGTACTTTTGCTGTAAGGTTTATATTCAACTGACTTGTCTGAAAACAAATTCCAAGCCACAAAGGCCCTGCCTCTCCCTTAGTGCCAGGTTGAAACAGTTAACAAAGAAAGAGGGTTTAGCTACAGCAGATCCCATAGATATCTTCCCAGCAAAGCCACAAAATTGTGCCTTCCAGAGCTTCACAATGTCAGTGTTTGGGTTGTGTATGGCCCCACTCTGGAGAGAGCTGGGTCAAGGTTTCCCAGGGGATTCAGAAATCAGCGTATGAGACTCACAAATGTCTCTTGGCCCTTGAGAAAATCTCTGTTTGCTTCAAATGAGCATTGCCTCTTTATTACCAATACTTAAAAGATTCCTCAAACATCGAAAGTGGAGTGTGCATTTTTCAAGAGTGTTTCAGTGTGCCACGAGAGAAGGAATGCAATGCAATCCACATTCAACTGGAATGAACAGTGACTGCACTGCAATAAAACTTGGTATAGTGCTTTGTAATAGAGACTCAACTGCATTTCACAGAAAGCACTTTATTTTCTAAATAATCCCCTTTCCTTTGCTATTTGTATGTAAAAACAGGCAGTAAAGCAGATTAATGGACTTTCTGCGCAGCGTTTTTGTTGAGATGACTGGTGTAGACAAACCTGCAGAGGGGTTCTCATTATCTCCACAACCACTCTTCTAAAAAGACTTACATGGTCCCATTCCAAAATTCCACACTCTGCTTGCAGCCCATATTATATTGCAATTTCCTCTTTGAGTTCTTAGATTTGTCATATTAAATTGCTCTACTATCATTTGGAGTGAGAGTTATGGCCGAGACGTGATCAGCTGACTCAAAAAAAAAAAAAAATAGTGTCTAGGGCAGGCAGTCAGTTCTAGGGATTCATGTGCATATAGGGCTGCTAGAATATAACCCGGCCGTTCTCTCTTTATCGCTTATTCCTTGCTTGTCTGTGTCACAGCACAGAGAGAATTACTGTGGAGCCTAAAAACATTGTCAGTTTTTATACCCACCTTCTTATGAGCAAACACATAGAGAGCTATCTCCTATTTCTGTTGGGCCGCAGAAATGTACAGCCCGTGTGGGGGAGAGACGACCGCTCAAAAAGACTCAGAGTCCAGAGACTTGATGCAAGAGCAAGAGGATTTATTTTCCAGCGCAGCGCAGGGGCAAGCAGCACCACCGAGCTAGGGAAGCTGCCGCCCCGGCCTTTTTTTCCTTAGGATTTTTATAGGCAGAAACCGCACGCAGGTGGCTAGGGATCACAGGGTGGGGGGAAATTCCATGGGCTTTGACCTTGCACAAACATGTACCAGATGGGCTAATATCGGGAACTTCTAATCTTGGTCAATAATTTCCAAGGACTAACGGCAAGCGGTTTTTGGGAAGTTACAGAGTGGCGCCGGCGGGGGAGGGAGTAGGGTTGAGCGAGCGGCGCCAGCGGGGGAAGGGAGTAGGGTTGAGCAAGCGGATTTTACAGAAGCAGAACAGCGGGTTAGATTTTTCTCCACATTTCATGCTTCTAGCCCACCTTTCTCACTCCTCTTGTTTCTAAATTTTTGTATCTCAAAGACATAGATGTGAATAAGCATATGCTGCTTTGCCGTGATGTGGCTACAATGCTTCATAAATTGTGTGTGCTTGAAAATGTCCAGCAAAGAAGTAAACTATTTAGTCAATTCAACAAGTATTTATGGACCACAGTGAGAGTGTTCAATTCTAGATGGCTAACGTGAGAATACATAAGGGCTTTAGGCAAATGATCTAAAGCCGAAGGCAGAATTTCTACCTAAAGGAACAGGGAAAATTCTAGGAGATTGGATGAAACTTTGATTAATTTTCACTAGTAATATCCAAGAAGACTTCATTGGAAGAGGTGTCATTGAAAATTGGCTTTGAAGTGGGAAAGAGGTCCCACAGAAAGAAAGACTTACTCTTCTGGCTGGGTGAGGTGGCTCACGCCTATAATCCTAGCACTCTGAGAGGCCGAGGCAGGAGGATAGAATGAGGCCAGGAGTTCAGGAAAGACTTAACTCTTCTATACATTTGCTTTTGTTGATACCAGATATCCAAAACCTTGAAACTAACTGGCTTGCATTTTTTTTGCCATTTAAATCCTTTTACATTATGCACACACAGCCATAGTGCCCTAGAATATTATAAGAGGTTGCACAATGAGTGTGCATGTGCACACACACAAGTATTTAAATGGTGATTTTTACTATTTGAAGGGATAAAAATGAATGTCTCTCATTCTTTACACCTGTTATAGAAGTGGATCAATTTCCTTTGTGCTACAGTGTTTCCTTACTTTTTGATCTTCCAAGGTGAATGCTAGGTATGCGCGACTCCTGATAATACACAAACTTCAACTATGCTATCTTCCTTACCTGATATTCTGTGTTAGGATTTGTGGAGGGTGAGGGTAAAAACTAAGATAGATAGTCATTGAGTTATATTAGCTCCAAAGTTCCTAAATATTTAAATGACTTCCTGGTAGCCTGTTTGGTTAAGATAAGCTCTCACTTTTTGGAATGTTCCTGGCTACAGAAACAAACAAAAATTTAGATCTTATCACTATAGTCAGCTCTGCTGCTGAAATGTGTTGAGTCCTGCAAACATTATTTTATTCTGCTAAATACTATTGCCAGATACACAGATGATCTAAGTAAATAAACAGAAGGACAACAAAAATCTTTCTTTGCCTGAGTTGCCTAATGGCCTGATCTGCAGTTTACTGGGAGGGCTGATTGATGTTTGAGTACCAGTGGCTAAGGAGAGCTTCAAAGTGATCCACGGTTAAGACAAGTTTGGTCCCTAAGACAGCTCTAGATCGATAGAGTTCCTCTGCTTTGCAGTCAGGCATTTCTGTCATATTAAGGACCAAATCAAAGCAACTCTGCTTCAATTTCATCAAATACTCAGCAATCTACCTGAAAATGGTATATTCTGTGGTCTGTATGGGCCTATTTAAAGAATGACTGAAAACTAGAAAAAGAACTTTTACGGAGGAGCCCTATTTGAAGAAATACACAAGGTGCTATGGGAAATCTATGTCCCCCACCCCACCAAAAACAGTGAAGTGTTGTAGCAACATAGTCACCAAAAGAGGTGTTAACATTTTAATATCATTGTTTACTTTAAAGGACATGCTCTTTCCATTAGCATTTATGATGTCACCATTGCTGGGTAGAGCATTTCTAATTTTTATATTATGCTTTAAAAAAAATGGTATGCCATGCTATTTATAGTTTTTGTATATTTTAGACAATTCAGAAACATTGATTAATATTACAAGGCTTTATCTACTGGCATTTTTATACTATAGGTGGAAGTTAAATGGAACAGATGTTGACATTGGTATGGATTTCCGCTACAGTGTTGTTGAAGGCAACTTGTTGATCAATAACCCCAATAAAACCCAAGATGCCGGCGCCTACCAGTGCGTAGCAACAAACTCGTTTGGAACAATTGTTAGCAGAGAAGCAAAGCTCCAGTTTGCTTGTAAGTAGCAATTATATTATGCTGCAAATGTTACTTTGAGTTTTTGTGCCAATGTTACCAATGCAGCTCTAAAACAATTTCTTTTTAAAAACCCAACAGATTTTAATATTTTATATATGATCTTCTTTACCCTTTCATCGTATTTGGCAAATAAATTATTTGTAGGATAAATTGTAAAGCTAAGTGGGAAGATATATGCTTCTGCTTTTGTGAGAACTGACGTAGTTTGATTATATAATAATTTGGTTGTATATGCTTAATACACATAAATATACACACTGAAATTTGTACATGTATAAATTTATGTATACAACAAACATATTTTAAATATTTTAAATAGAATGTGTATAAGCAAGCAATTGAACTGCCAGTTAATTTAGTAGTCAATAAGTAAAGCATTTTAAACATAACACTCAGAGTTGGAAGAAAAACCCTAGGTAGTTAATTAATCCTATAATTCTCTAATTATTTGTTACTTCATAGACTAGAAGAAATTTTAAAACAACTACAATAATAGCAAAAAGTAGAAACAAAATGTTAACCACCTTTTGTGTTTCCAATGTAGAACATTTAAAAAACAAATTACCATTTCTTAAAACCACCATTTAATAAAAGTCCATGAATATATGAAAGAAAGTGGAATTTAGAAATAACACGTTGAAAATAAAATCCACAGGCAAGAGCAGTAAGCACACATTTGAGTATAGACGCTTTTGAGGATGGATGTTCAGCTGCATTTTTAGGAGCTTATGTATATGCATATGACTATATGTCTCCATGTGTGAAATCCCAACTCATGTAGCAGTGCATTAATGTCAAAGGTTTCATAATTACAAAATCTGTTGGCAGTAACACTATGGAATATTCTCATTAACAAAATCCTCTCCGGGAACTCAACATCAAATACACCTAATATCCAGTGCTTAATCTATTATTGCCGTTTGGTGGCATTTTTATTAGTTGAGAAATGGATTTTCTAAGTATTATGTATATATGGGATTCCAGGATTATTTTGTTTGTGAATGTCTCCTGAGATCATCTTCTAAATATTGTTAGGTGTGCAGAATAGTAGGAGGATGATATGTCTGATTGAGTGCAAAAAAACCAAAGTGTTTATTTCTCTTATTTTACTCCAAGTCATAGCTATATTTATTTTTTAGTAATGACAGATTAATTTTGCTGCATTCATTGTCAGAAATCATCACAGAATCATGGGCTTTCAGGGTAGAAAAACCAATCTCAGTATTCAATAAACCTTTTAGGTCTTTAATTTTTGGATATCATAGTGCAGGAAATTTTTAACAACAGTAACACCAAAAAATGGAGATGGAAATGGCATTATCCAACTTTGATTTGTCTAACTTACATTTAAAAAACAAATTACTATTCATCCGACATACTTTGTACATTCAAAAAAAAAACAAAAAAAAAACAAATTACTTACCCTTAAGATTATCCTTTTGTAAAAGCCTAGACATTTTTCTTACCAAAACATCAGAAAAACAGAATCTCATATTTAACAACAGTCATTTAAATATTAAAATAGTTTATTTAACCTGAGGGAAAGCTCTGCCACTCACTTTGCAGTGTGTCGGCCTCACGGCCACTATTTGAAATCCACATCGCTCCATCCTTCTTCTTGTGTGATGGGGGCATTCCCACCACTCTTAAAATCCTCCGCTGAGAATCACTTAGCTTGAAAGTTTTTAGTGGCAGAGAGTTCACCTGTTCAGCACAAACATCCTGGCCCACAATGGACTGCTCTTGTTGTTGAAAAATACAAAAACAAATGTGCCACTTTCGTAAAATTGAGCCAAATGCCTAAATTTCTATCACTTTCACTCCCAATTCTTACTGTATGAGGCTAGTTCAGCTTCATGTATGTGAAAACACGATCGTGTCTCTTGTCCCATAATTCTTTTTTCCTTTTAATTCTTTTTTGTGTACCTAGTCCGCAACCATCTTCTTCACAACGCACTCAATTATGTTAATTCATCAATTAAATCATGCTCTTATGGAAATGTACACCTGTACGTTTCTTAGAAATTCTATACCTATGTCTTGACCTTTGTAAAGAACACTGGGAATACTAGTGTCCCATGATGTGAACTTCTTTTTCAATTAATAATATTCATTTTTTAAAGCACTAGCTCCATACTGTAACCTTATTTTGAACATATAGTCATGTAAAATCTGAGAGTTGATTTTACATAAGTTTTATTAATCCAGAGCTACCCAGCCATGTTATTTTATTAAGCTAAATTCAGAAGATTATATTTACCCCTAATAAATTTACCTTCTGAGTAGTGACCCTTTGTTCCAGCATATTTGAAATTGTTTTAAATCTTTTTCTTTTAATATGACATATTGATTGTCCTCCTAGTTTAGTGTCAGTGGAAAATTTGATAAGTGTGTCTACATTCAAATAATTGATACAACATGTTGACCAGGACAGGGCAGCATGCCACTAGAGAATTTCCACTAAAATGAGATTAAACCTTTAATTTAATATTGTTTGGACACTCTCGTTCAACCAGCTATATATTTAGCCAAATACACTGTAATTGAACTTTGATCTCCCCTATTGTTTTTAAAGTAGTGAGAATCTTTGCTAAACACTTTGCTAAAATCAAGATGTATTGTTTCTACAACATACACTCCTACCTGGTCTCTCTGCATCTTCTTAAGACTTTATTTAACTGTTTATCATAAAACAGCCAGACTAATCCTTTAAAAATGTAAATTAGATCATTCCATTTTCCTGCTTTATGCCTTCTACTGCACTTAGAATAAATCTCAAATTCATTACCACGGTCTCATTTTAATTTCACAAAAACGACAAAACTATTTTTTGCGCCAAAGCCTCAATACTTTTGTTCCTTCTGCCTGACATGCTTTTCTCCTGCTCTTTCACATAGCTGACTTCTTATGATCCTCAATTCTCAATTTCAGTATGACCTCCTAAGAGGAAGTTGCCATATCACCCTAACATAACAAGCAATTCCTGTCATTTCTCCTTCCCTCTTCTGCCTACCTTCCTTCAGCCCTCTACTTTTACATAACAACACCCTTCTATTTAATTTGTCAGGATTTAATAAAACCTGGAGTGATTTTGGTTTATGTATTTTTTTCTCATTTGTTATTTGACTCCTTTAATAGAATCTAAGTTAAAAAAAAGAGCTGAGACTATCTCATCCATCCTCATATCTCCATAGTCTATAACAGTTTATATGTATGAATAAAGGGATTCCTTTATTAAGTGCCTATGATAAAACAAAGAAAATATATGTATAAGGTTAATTTGGGGATGATGTATTTTTAAACCCACATCGTTTCTATTCTAGTTATTTTCTGGAGTTCAGCCTCTTGATCACCAATCTATAGTTTATAGACTTTTTCCCCTATCCTTTTTAAATTAAAAAAAAAATGTATGGCTTGTATTCAAAAATCATTTTCAATTGGTTAGAATAAAATACTTTTCTTCCGTGAATAAAGGTGAAACAAGACAATGACATCTTTTGAATGTTACTGATTTCTTTTACTCCAAGCATTTTCATAATCATTAAGAAAAACAATGTTGCTTTTTGACCACACTTACTGCCCTATGCTATGCAAGTGAGAATATTTCATTTTTAATCGTATGATTTTATGGCTGAAAGGGACATTAAAGGTCTCCTGGCCTGAATCGTTTTAAAAAATGAAATTGAATATTGGAGTAACTGAATTATTCACTGTTATTACACAATTGTGAAATAAGTTGCAGAGCCAAGGAAATCCAGTCTTCAGCTCCCATTCCTGTACACCCTGGCTGTCTTCTGCTTTAGACTCACCTTAATTTGTAAGAAAATGTCCCTTCACCTTTATTTAACATGTCACAGTTTTCAAATCTCATTTATATACTTTGTGTAATGCTACCCACACAATAGTCATATAAGGTAGACATTATTATTTCTATTTTACACTTCAAAAGTATTTTCATGCTGTTTTTGTATAAAGAATTTGGTGATGTTTAAGATTAGCATTTATAAATAGAATCATTGCATAACTAAAATTTCTAGTTAAGTAAAGATGATGATTCTCAGAATCTGCTCCTCTTCCCACTTTTTTCCAGTTAACATATTTAGAATAGAAATCCTTCTTTGATTACATAGGGATAGCATGATTTAAGTCCCTCTTGATGAGATATGGACATTTTCATAAGCATAAATTATTGTGATGTAATTTGGAGCATATTTTGTTTTTCAGTCCCCCTTCAGTATTAAACTACCGCTAATCACTTGCCTACTGTCACTTAGCCTGTTACCAATACCCCTTCTGCCATTTAGTCCTTCTGTTTCACCTATGGCTACAAAATTTGATTGACTGATTTACCCAGTGCGTGGCACTTAGCAACCTCACAATTGTTAAATGAATGAAAAATAAGAATTAGAAGGTCTTCCTGCAATGTGTGAGGCATAGGAATGAGGTGGGCCACTGAGTTCAACGGCTTTCTGATGGTCCTTTGGAGTGCTTTGGAGACAGGTGCAAGCATTTCCACCTTGGTGTTGTACAAAAGACAGTTGGCACCTTAATTCCTCATAAGTCTATGTGTTGGGGTGGGAGGCCTTAGCCCACATGAAAAAAATAAAAAAGATGCTCATGCATGGATCACTTGAAGTCAGGGGTTCGAGACCAGCCTGAGCAAGCGAGACCCCATCTCTACTAAAAATAGAAAAAGTTGCTGGGCATGGTGGCATGTGCACTAGGGAGGCTGAGGCAGGAAGATTACTTTTGCCTAGGAGTTTGAGGTGGCAGTGAGCTGAACTGATGCCAAGGCACTCTAGCCCAAGCAACAGAGTGAGACTTTGTCTCAAGAAAAAGAAAAAAGAAAAGGAAAGAAAGCTATGTAATACTGTTTCTCTGTTCCTTTCTTCCTTTCCTCCTATTTCCTTCCCTGTTTTGCCTTCTTAAAATAAGAATAACATTTTCAAAAACTTTTTAATTGACACATAATAATTGTA